AAAAAAAAAATCATTGATGGGAGCTAACACCATCATCATCATATGCATCATCATCATCATATTCAGCTCCACAACAAGGCCATGGCCTTGTGTCCATGGATCAGACATAAAGGAGAATGACTCCCTGGACAACTACCTTTACCAATATGCCCTCAACAACATCCAAAATCCCCACACAGGCACCGTCTACAACGTCCCCCTTCCCGCCAACCTGTCAGGGGCAGAACTGTCATTCATTCGCCTCCGGACCAGAAGCCTCCTCAGGAACGGAGCCAACCACACCCCATACTTCACACTGCCACCTGGCACAATCCCAGTGCCCTACACTAAGCGGCTCGACATCGTTTACCAAAACCTCGGCAACTGGTCCTCGTCGTACTACTACGTACCCTACCACACCCTCGTCACGCCCGTGACCGGCTTCCTGGCCTACGACTCGAACGTGAGCTCGACAAACTACGGCCCCCTCGACTTCATCCTGTTCTGGAAAGACCCGATCGTCGCCCGCTTTCCGAATCTTTCTAAAAGCGGAAACGAAGCCAGGTGCGTTAGGTTCGATGCTGACGGGTCGACCGAATTTAGCAATGTGACCGAGGGAAATTCGTGCGCGGTTAGCAAACAGGGCCATTTCGCGGTTGTTGTCCCGAAGAGGCAATACAAAGAGAGGGCTAACACGCGGGTTATTGAGGTTGTGGGGAGTGTGGTTGGCTTGTTGGCCTTGGTTATGATTGTGGTGGGTGGGGTTGTGGGGTATGACAAGTGGGTTAGAAAGAGAAGGATGGCTAAAATGGATGGTTTGTCTGAGGTTAATGTGGCTTTGGATACTATTTGGATTGGGAGGAGTCGAATGCCGTATGCTGCAGCAGCCGGTAGGACGTTTCCGGTTATTCAGAATAGATATGTGCGTTGAAAAAAAAAAAAGAATCGAAAAACTACACAACTCTGATTCACAAGAAAAAGTTGATGTTTATGTTTGAATTAGAATGTTTTATGTTTTGCTGCTTTCTTTTTCTGTAGTTTTTGTTGACTGCTTTTATTGCTTTCTTGATCTTTTATCTCTTTATTTGACAAAAAATGTGATATCAGCCAATAGGCTGAATTTCACAGTAGTGATTGAGATTAAAGGGAGGGTCAAAGTAAGATCCACTGAGAATCGCATAGGCAACGAGCTTGTTCGCGTTCTCCGTGAGATGAATCCCGTCCCAGCTCACGTAGTTCTGTGGGTCCTCACATGCCGTGGCCGTGGCTTTCTGGCCTTTAACCTCGTTTGCTGCGTGGAGTGTCGGAAATGGGTCCGGCGGGTCAACCCTAGGGTCAACCGATTTCTCAACGCCCGTCGGAGCAGTCGTCGCGGCGAAACCTAGCATATCTTGGAACACTTTTCATACCAAAAATTAAATGTACATATGTAATGATCTTGTATTTCAAAAAATAAATAAATAAAGGTTAGTAGTTCTTTCTCACAATTGATGACGAAAATTTTGACTAACTAAAGACTCCCTTTCTTACAATTTTATATGCCTTTGAGATCAAAAGGCTTGTTTTATTATTATTATTATTATTATTATTATTATTATTATTATTATTATTATTATTATTATTATTATTATTATTATTATTATTATTATTATCATTTTCTAATATTGATTATAGATTATTCTCATTTGAATTTGATCATTGAATGAAATGAGTTGACAGACAAAAAAATACAAAAAAACAAAAATTAAGTAGAAATTTGAATTTGATTTTGTCTTTGAGTAAATATGAGTTGACATGTAATGATAAGGCTTAATTGCTATTACATGTTGGGGTCTTTGTGTTGTTTTTAAGTTTTCTTATAGTGTTCTTGAGTATTACCCCGTTGAGGTCGGTTCTATGCGGTCTTTTGACCCGTCCTCTCACTTTTTCAGCTATTGACTGCTTGTATTCAGCTGTTGGCTGTTTGTACTCAGCTGGTGGCTACTCTTTGCACATTTGTGCTTTTATATAATATCTCTATCGTTCCGTTAAAAAAAAAAAAGATAAGGCTTAATTGCTAATAAAACTATGTCTTTTTCGAAAATTGCAATTATATGTATCACTTTTAAACTTGACAAATATGTACACCATTTTTACAATTTTGGCAATTGTATGCACCGGGCCCAATTTCGGGCTTTGACTGCTGACATGGCTGCGGAGTTTGAAAGTGATGCATATTATTGCAATTTTCGAAAAGGTCATGGTTTAAAAAGAAATTAAGCCAATAAAATATTTATCTAATTTTATTTTACTATTTAGTTTATTATATTTTCTATCTTATATTATATTATCTTATAAGATAATAAATATAAGATAATGAATAATAATACTATAATGTATTACCTTATATAATATTAAATTTTATAATATAATAAATATAAGATAATATAATATAATAATAATATATTATCTTATATTCTATTATTTTATAAAAAATATATTATCTTATTATATTAACTTATATTATCTTATATTATCTGATTTAATAAAATATATGATAATATAATAAATAATATATTATCTTATAAAACATGGTAAAATAAATAAAATAAATAGATTTTTATTTTTATACTTTATTATGTTAGATTATTTTGTTCTTATTTATTTTTCATCGGTGCACTGTAATCTAATTTATTTTTTAATTTAAATTTTATCATTATTATTTTTATTTTCAAATTTATATAATTAATTTTATTTTTAGAATTAATAAATATAGTAACTTATTTTAATGTAGTTTAATTTAAATGCACTATACTATAATAATCTATCTTACCTTATTTTAATTTATTTTTCATTTATTAGTATATAATTTATTTTATTATATTTTAATTATTATAAGTTTATATCTTATTAATATAATTTACATTATCTTCAAAATTTAATTGTATTTATTAATACGTAGCGTCCATATATTCAC